GGTTTAATGGTGATGGAAATATTGAGTTGATTAAGTGTAGGGTTGCACAGCCAGCTATTGTAATTCAAGCCAATAAATTGTATACTTACAAAAAGATGCATTAGCAAAAGTTGTGATAGGTATATTTACAACAACATCAACAGAAAAAAAACGTTGCTACTAAGGCTGTTTATGTCTGACCAAACATCTCATGGGATTTAATTCCTTAGTTTGGAGGTTTAGGGGCATGGTTTCATGGGACAGCTCGGTTAATTGGCCTAATAACATGTTTAGTACCTCTGTTCTACCTTTTAGTTCAGAGGTAGTGTCTGGGATCTTCAAAGCTGGCAAGCAGCCATCTAAGGCCACTTTGGTCTCTATTCACCTAGAAAAACAGTAGAAGAAAGAGAGGAAGGAATAGGAGGAAGACATGGAATGTGTGCCCAATTGCCTCCATGAACAACTGCCTCGTTTGCCATGAGACCAGAAGAACTTGATGGTGCCCAGCTACCATTACTGAACATTGTGATCAGAGTCCATAAAATAATCCTGATCAAAAGGGGGGAAATGCAGAACAGAAGCTCAAATTTTCATGAACTCCAAGCTTTCTGGAGCCATGGAGGGTGGATGAACTCGTAAATCTGCTGCCCTGAGATAATCTTTAAACCTTAAACCAAAACTATCCCTTGAAGTCTTCTAAAAGCCAAACAACAGTATAGCTGTTTTTTAGTACCAAGGGCTTCTCTGACAGCAATATATCACAAGTAGGATGGCTTTAACAAACAAGACTTTATTCCTATAATTTTTGGAGGCTAGAAGTCTGAGTTCAAAGTGCCAGTTCTAGGGTCTGGGTGAAAGCTCCTCAACCTTGGGCTTCAGCTCTGCCTCTGGCTCCTTGCCCACTGAAGCTGGAGGCTTTCTTCCTTCAGGCAGCTGCTGGCTGCTGAAGTTGACAAGCCCAGTGTCAACAAGTGAAAAGGCACAGTCCCGATATCACCAAACCACACGGCAGGCTGTTAATTCAAGTCCAGAAACAGTGCCAGGATCGTCAGGGCATGGGAGGCTGTTGAACAACAACTTGGCTACATGCAGGGTTTAAGTGTGCCAAAAAGCTGGAGACCTTCCCCAGAGCTGCTGCTTATCTACGGGAAGCAGACCACATCCCTAAGGCAGCTACCCAGCTGCTCCAGTAGAGTCCACCATGGAGCTGATTGCCAGTCTCACCATGGGGAATAGCTACATCCAGCTGCCCAGCCACTCAGCCAGGCCCAGCCAAGTTGACAACAACCTTAACTAGCACAATAGCTTAACTATTAAAAAAAAAAGATCTGCCATGAGCCTGGTGCTCTTTTAAGAACTATCTCTATGGGATCAAAGTGACAACAGCCACTAGAAAGATTAGGTGGGAGATTTAAGGTACAGGGGATTTATGTTAATGGAAGAGGAACCACTCAGAAAAGGAAGATGAGAATGGTCACATAACTTAAATAATGTAGTTGGTATCACTGAATTGTACATGTGAAAACTGCTGAATGGGTGTATGTTTTGCTGTTTATATTCTCAACAACAACTATAAAAATAAATAAAATTGTATTTTACAAAAGAGAGCTCAGCAGAGTTGCTGGATACAAAATAAATATCCCAAACCAGTAGAATTCCTACCTACCAGCAACACCCAGTGATAACATAAACAAAGATCTACAGAATAAAAACTCTAGGGTGTCTAACAGTAAATGTGACCAAAGTGTACAAGAGCTCAACAAAAAAGTGTATAAACTTACTGAAGGCACAGAGCATGATTTGAGTAGAGAGAAATACCACACTCTTGATGGGAAAATTCAATTTTGAAAAGATGACAATGCGCTCCGAATCTATACATTCAGTCTAATTATAATAAAATTCAAAAATTCTGGTTTTTCTAAGCTTATGAAACTTACCCTAAAATTCATGTGAAGGGAAAGACAACCAAGAATAGCCAAGACTGTTTTGAAAAAGAGAATAAGGGAGGGCTCGCGATAACAGCTGGGCAGTCTTGTAACTGCAGCAATTACAGCAGTGTTTGTTGGTGCAGAAATAAACCAGTAGATCAAGAGAATAAAATAGAGATCCTGGAAGTAGATGTGTGATAAATAGAAATTATATAAGACAGAGGGCATTAAAGGTCACTAAGGAAATGATCAACAATTCAGTAACCGTGGTTATCCAGAGAAAATGGTATCAGTTCCTCACTCTATTAAAAAATAAATTTTGGATGCCTGTGAATAGCAGAATTTTAAAACATTTAAAAGAAAATATAGGAGAAATGTTAATAAAATCAGGGTAGAAAAGGAATTTGGAGAATAATGAAATTCCTCCTTCACTGCCATCTAGTCAGATCTGACTCATAGCGACCCCTCCTCGAGTTTTTGAGGCAGCATCACTATGGAAGTAGACTGCCCAGCCTTTCTTCTGAGGAGTGGCTGGTGGGTTTGAACTTCCAGCCTTCTGGTTAGCAGTCAGATGCTTTAGGCACTATGCCACCAGAGCTCCCTTAATGAAATTAGGGTTTTAAAAAAGAGACTTTTTAAAAAATAAGGCACAAAAGGACTCAATGCTTAGGGAACCCTGAACTTCTATTAAGGGTGATGGCAAAATTTGGAAACTGATAAGGAGATGTTGTATAATATGATAAACATAAGTTAATGTTACTGAACTATGTGAAGAATGTTGAAATGGCAAATGTTTTGTTACATATACAATAAAAACTATTTTTTAAAAAAAGAAGAAACAAACAAAAGGCAAAATCCAGCAAAGCAGTGGTTGACCAGATGAGCTTCAGTGGGTTAACCGTGTGTGCGCTCTGTCCCTGGTATTTAGCTCTGGATGGAGGAACAGGAATTGTCCACTGTGCTGCAGACACACCTGCAGGAGGACCACGAGAGCATCATCCATGGGGTCCTGGGCCGACTCAGCAGCTTCAATGAAGAGTGAGTAGGTTCTGAAGGTCCTGCGTGATGCTCTGTTCTAGCCTTGGTGCCATTTGTATAAGGTAGACACATTAACCACCACCCTTCTTCCTCACAGTGTGGTTTTGAGGACCCAACCACATTTTAAGTACAAATGTGTAATACAGTGGTAGTAGAATATTATGATTTAAAGCTTGCACTTGAAATCAGACTTAATCTGGGCAAATTGCTTACCATTTCTTAGCCTTATTTCCTCATCTATGAAATAGAGTAATCTCTTCCTCCAATTATACACATATTAGACCTTTTAATATGTCTTGCATGCTATCCGTATTTTTATTCTTTTTCCACTGTGCTTTAGTCTGGGTGTTTTCTTTGGCCTGTCTTTCAGTTCATTCTTTCCTTGTTGTTGTTGTTGTGTGCCGTCAAGTCAGACCCGACTCATAGCGACCCCTCCTTGGGTTTCTGAGGCAGTATCACTACGGAAGTATCCTTCCGAGGAGTGGCTGGTGGGTTTGAACTGCCAGTCTTCTGGTTAGCAGTCAAGTGCCTTAGCCACTATGCTACCAGAGCTCCCATTCTTTCCTTAGCTATATCTTACTTGCTGTTAAATTCATCTACTGAGTTCTTTAGCTATTGTGTTTTCATCTGTAGAATTCCCATTAGATTATTTCTAGTTTCTGGTTACCTGCTGAAATTCTTCATCTTGTTAATTAATTTACTGAGCATATTAATCATAATTACTTTCCAGTTCATGTTGGATAATTCTAATATCTGATATCTCATGAATGTGTTTTTGTTGTCTGCTTTTTTTTTTTTTCCTTTTGGTTTTTGGACAATTTATATCTGTTTACATGTCTGGTAATTTTTATTGAATGGCAGACACTGTGTATGAAACTTTGTAAGGATAATTTAAGACTTTGAATGTTGCAGTCTTCCTCCAGAGAGGACTTATCTTACTCCTAGGAGGAAATACAGGAAGTGGCAGATTGACCCCATCCCTTTGGGAATTTAGCTGATTCATAACTGAGCCTCTGTAAGGGATGGTCCACCCTCATTCCTAGGATGAGGTCTTTCAGAGATTCCAGTATGAAACCCTGAGGTGTTTGCCCAATCCTTCCTCTTTGGTAGGTTCTGAACTCTGACAGCTTTCTCTCCCATCCCATAGAGTCAGTCCTCAGGTAGTGCCGATAGTTAACACAGTTGGCTGCTAACCAAAAGGTTGGCAGTTAGAGTCCACCCAGAGGTCCCTTGGAAGAAAGACCAGGATATCTACTTCTCAGCAATTAGCTGTTGAAAACCCCATGGGACACAGTTCCAACTCTGACACACGTGGTGTTGCCATGAGTTGGAATTGACTTGACAGCAATCGGTAGATTCCATAAAACTGCCAAAGCTCTGTTCAGCCTTCCAGCCACTCAGCAAGTACCTCACATCGTGGAACGAATGTCAGACTTCTCTCAGAGCAAGGTTTTTGTTTCTGTATTCCTACTGAGATAGGAACTCAGAAACACCGTGGGTGGCTCATCACTTCAGCGTTAGATGTGTTCATTTGGAGAGTTACATAAGGAACTCAAGTGGATGTGTACGGTAGGCAGCTACATGATATGCATTTGGAACTTGGAAGAGGACTTGACCAAGTGAAAAATGTAAATAACAGAGTAAAGGGCAGATTATAAGCCCCAGGTGAGACCAGTGCTTAAGACGATGGTGTCTGTTTCTTTGTGCTGCTGTAACAGAAATGAGTGCCTTTAACAAGTGAAATTAATTTTCTCCCACCTTAGGAGGTGAGAAGTCTGAATTCAGGGCACCAGCTCTAGAGGAAGGCTCTGCCTGTCCACTGTGGAGGAAATCTTTGTCTCCCTCAGTTTCTTGGTGATCACCACATGGCATCACTCCTTCCCCATTGTGCATCCTTGCTTCTGCACCCTTCTGTTCCTTTTATATCTCAAAAATGGTTGGTTTAAGACACACCCAACATAGATGGCCTTATTAACATAGCAAAGAAGACCCTGTTCCCAATGGGATCACATCCACGGGTATCATAGGGGTTCAGATTCCAAAACATAGTTTGGGAAGACACAACAGATGAACAGAAGAGGGCGAGAGGACTGCAGACTATGTCCTTCTTAGAAAGGAGTCCTGTGGGCATGATTGGGGAGTTTCCCATAGCTCAGTGAGCCCAAGAGCATTGACTCCTCTCCTCCGCCCACTTTCCCCAAAGGTCCACGCGGTGCGTCCTGCAGGGCCATGACCTGCTCCTGCGCTCGGCACTTCGCAGGCTCGCGCTCCGCAGCAGTGCCGTCACCGCCCTGGCCCAGATGAGACTGTCCGGGAAGAAGCGGCTTCTCCTGGAGCTGCGGGAGCAGCATGCGCTGGAACAGGGCTCCTCCCAGTGCCTGGACGAACATCAGTGGCAGCTGCTGAGAGCCCTGGTGAGGACGGCGCCTCTGCCACGTGCCCCCACCCAGTCATGCCGCTTCACCTGGCCCAGCCACATTGGCCAACACCCAAAGTCGTGTTCCCCAGTGTTGCTGCATGGTGTGCTAACGGGTTCTGAGTGTGGGAGAAAATAATAAGAATTATACTGGAAAATCCATAGGAGGTAGGTGCAGTCGTCATCAGGGGCTGGGAGTAAGGGCACTCATAATCTGCTTGAAGCCCTGGGTGGCACAAAGGATTAGGCATTTGACTACTAACCGAAAGGTTGGCAGATCAAACCCACCCCAGGTACCTCAGAAGGCGGGTCAGTGATCGGCTTCCGAAAGGGCACAGCCTTGAAAACCTTACGGAACACGGTCTGTTTACATGTCTGTTTACATGTCTGCTCTGACACACGTGCAGTCATGGGGTCAGAAGCCACTGCACAGCAATCAGTAGTAACAGTCTGTCTCAGCCGTCCGGGCAGTGCACACGGTTAGCACAATGGGTTGGTAAGTGAAAGACTGGAGGTTCAAATCCACCCACGGGTATCTGGTGATGTGTACTCAAAAAGTCAGCCGCTGTAAACCTTATGGAGCACAGTTCTACTGTGACACACGTGGGGTTGCTAGGAGTTGGGGTCCACTGTTACTCTGTTTGAAGATTTTAACCGCTCTAAAGAAAGGCCTTGTAAATTTCCGAGTTGAGCTCTAAATCCCAGTGGGTGGCTGCCGTGATGGACTCAAGCACAGCAAGGATTGGGAGGCTGGTGTGGGACCAGGCAGGGTTTCCTTCTGTTGGACACAGGGTCGCTGGGAGTCAGAGCCGACTCGACGGCACCTAACAACAACAACATGCTGGTTCCAGGTCTCCTGCCCAGGGGCACTAAACTAAGGAGCCGGTGGCGTTTGGGACCATGGAGTGAGAGATGAGCTCACAGGCCCTTCAGTTCTGCCCAGGAGGGCTCGCTCTGCCCTAGCTCTAGTCACTCCCTTCACCCCATCTCAGACTCCTCCGTCCTCCACAGAAGGGCAATGCCAGGGCTCTTGTGTGCCCTGTCTCACTCCCCGGTGTCCCCCAGATGGCTTTGAAACTGCCTCCACCCCTGCCGCCCTTGTGATTTTGGAAAGTCACTTCTCTGAGCCTCTGTGTCCTCATTGATCCAATTGTTCAGGACTCATGGCCTTCTAGTGACTTCGTATACGTGTCACAGGCCACCGATGGCACCAGGCACACAGTTGGTGCTCAATAAATGCTTTTGGGGAGCCTTCGGCAGACATCAAGGCTCATTCATTACTGGTTTGGGCAAGCCCATCGTCTGCCCCTTTTCTGCCTTTCCCCACCCCTCCTGCACCTTCCTGGGGCCCGGGGCCAGGGTCCCTCCCTTCCTCTCACCCTCCCTCTCTAGGAGGCGCGTGTCCTGGAGGAGGCGAGCAGGCTGGAGGACGAGGCCCAGCAGACGCGGCTGCGGCTGCACCAGCAGCTCCTGGCCGAGGCCCAGGAAGCCGGGCGGCTCCTGCAACAGCACATGGAGCGTGCCATCGGGTGGGCGCTCCTGGGGCATGCACGGAACGCGGCCACCAAGAGGCGGGCCGAGGACAGAGAAGACTTCAAGGTACGTGCCCACCCACTCCCGGGGAAACCAAATGGTGAGAAGGGGAGGGAGGGGTGGGTGGGCGAGGCAGGCCAGAGCAGCCCCTAGGGGCAGCACACTAGGTCTGGTTCTGACTGCCCTACATTGGGAGCCTTTGGCCTTGCAAAGCCAACTTCACTTCTCCAAGCCTCACTTTCCCCATCTGTACTATGGGACTCCATCACCCATCTGTCACTTTGTCATACTGTGGTGACTTACATGTTCCTACAGTGCTGGACACTGTGCCACCAGTATTTCCAATACCAGCACGGTCATCCATGGTAGATCATTACAGTGGAGCTTCAGACTAAGACCAGGAAGAAAGGTGTGACAACCCACTTCCAAAGAAAATGGCCAATGGAAACTATGGCTCACCATAGAATATTGTCCAGTTTCGTGCTGGGCAATGAGTAGTGCTGGAAGGCAACAGTGGACTCAAACGGGCCAGGGATCGTGAGGATGGTACGGGACCAGGCAGTGTTTTGTTCTGTTGGGGTTGCCATGAGCTGTCACTGACTTGACAGCTGCTCCCAAGAGCAACAAGTAGAGACTGCCTCCCTCACGGAACTGTGACCACTGCTCATGACAGACAACAGCTTCCTGCCACCACGTGCCAGGCACCCTGGTGGTTGTGTTCTGGACATTGGCTCCACCATGACCCAGCTCTTAGAGTCACATGACTAGTCAGTGGCAGAGCTAGGATTCAAACCCAAGCCCCTGTTCCAGAGAGAGGCGTGTGCTGTCCCTGCCACCAGCCCACACTTCTGAGGCTGAAGCTTTGGGCTGAGACCAGCAGCCAGAGTCCTTTTGACCTGAGTGGGCAGTGGTTTACTCTGTGTTTACAGAGACAGTAAACAACCAGGACAGAGTCAAAACCAGTCATGTGAGCATTAGCATTGCACCTGTACGTCTTGACTAAGTGCTTCTATCCACCTGATGTCACAGGAGTCTCTCCACAAACCTTGCACAGACAAGGATCATTTTGTTCCCATCGTACAGGTTGGAAAACTCAGGCCCATGGTTGGGCAGAAGACCTGCTTCAGGCCTCCCAGCCAGTAGGTGGCAGAGTTGGGACAGAAGCTGAGGTCTTCTCCTCCACAGGCAGCATGTCCCACTCTCCTGAGCTGTCCCCCCACCCCCAAGCCAGACGCAGACCCTCCAAATTCCCGTGCTTTGCCTCATAAATGAATAGCTGAATAGCTTGTCCCGAGTGATCAATCAGAACAAAATACTTATGAACCAGACTTTAGGAGGCTTCACTCCTTCCCCCACTTTGGCCCACCCTCACACTGAGCCAATGTACAACTTCTCCTTAAGGCCCCCTCCTGGAGAATAAGCTGGACTCAGTGTAAAACCTTGTCTGACTTGCTGTCCCGTCACTCCATCCTCTTAGCCCACTTCCCCACGCCTGGTTCTTCCTAGCCTTGTTTATTCTCATGTCCATAAAAAAAATACCCTCTTTGGCCTAACTCTTGGGACACTCACTGATCTTAGGGTCAGAGTGTTCACCCCACAGCAGTGATCTTTCCTCTAGCTCCATCTTGCAATCACCTTTGTTGCTTTTTTCATAAAGTATACACAGCCAAAACACACCATTTCCACAATGTCTGCATGTACAATTCCGAGTATGTTCTTCAGGCTGTGCTACCACTCACTGTTCTTTCCACATTAGTTGGCCACCATTGACTTAAACCCACTGACTTCTGAGCTTCCCATCGAACCTTTCTAGTTGCCCTTGTCAGACTTCAGGGTGTGGTTTTAGTTTAAGGTTTAAAGATCATCTAGGGCAATCATTTGGGGCTTGCAATCACCTTTTGAATAAAGTCTCCTTTATTAAGCCCAAACCAAAAAAAAAAAAAACAAACAAACTCCCTGCCATTGAGTCAATCCCAACACATAGCAACACCCACTGGGTTTCCAAGGCAGTAAATCTTTATGGAAGTAGAATGCCCCATCTTCCTCCTGCTGAGTGGCTGGTGAGTTTGAACCACCATTCCTCTGGTTAGTAGTCAAATGCCTTAGGTACTAGGCTACCAGAGCTCCTTTTATTAAGTCTAGATTTTTTTTTAAAAATTATTATTTTACAAGACTCTCCCTGACCAGGAGAAATAAGACTGTTGAGATTGGTTTAAGACAACCATGGGCTCTCTGCCTGCTCCCTGGCCCAGCAAGTTGGTTAGCAGAGTGGAAGGTGTGAGTTGGGCAAAAGGAGCAAGGCCAGCCTGTCCCTGGTGGTCCCTGTGGTTGGCTTCTCTGCTGAGCCACTGTCCTTTCTGTCCTCACACAGACATTGCTGATGGAGGCCGCCGTGGAGAGCGTCTACGTGACCAGTGGTAGTGTCAGTCGGCTGGTGCAGGCATACTACCAGCAGATTGGGAAGGTGATGCAAAACCATAAGGAGAAGAGACTGCAACAGCTGAAGGCCCTGCAGGGTATGGCGCCCCCCACAGGAGGCCAGGGAGATGAACACATGCTGAGTTCAGTTTGGGGGAGCATAGCATTTCTAGTTTTTCTAATTTCATTTTTGGGGAATCTAGTCAATTTTTTTTTACATAGTTTTGTATTTATTTGTCCTAAAAAAGGCTCTGGGGACACTTCCAAAACTACACGCATACAGCATTAAGTTCCCTCACAAAAAAATTCACTGCCATCAAGTCAATTTCAAGTCATAGCGACCCCTCCTTGGGTTTCCAAGGTGGTATCTCTACAGAAGTAGATTGCCCAACCTTCCCTCCGAGGACTGGCTGGTGGGTTTGAACCACTAGCTTTCTGGTTAGCAGTCAAGTGCCTTAGAGCTCGTGTGCCCTAAATTTGGACTCTGAGCCTCCTGAACTGTGAGAAAATAAATTTCTGTTTGTTAAAGCCACCCCCTTGTGATATTAGTTACAGCAGCACTAAGTGAGTTCCCTGATAAACATGTATAGTGGGTGCATTTTCTCACAGTTCAGGAGGCTTGGGGTACAAATTCAGGGCACACGCCCTAGAGAAGGCCCTCTCCCTCCCTCTGTCTCTCTCTCTCTCTTGGCTCTGGGAAAGATCTTGTCTCAGTTTCTGTAGCCCTGACTTTTCTGGGTTCCTTGGCAACCACCACGTGGCATCTGTCTTCCCCAGTTGTGCTTCCTTGTCTCTGTCTATGCTGCTCCTTACAACCCAGAAGTGGTGAGTGTTAGGACACCCCCACACCAACGTGGCCTCATTAACACCAAAAAAACCCATTCCCAGTGGGATCACATCCATAGGCACGGGGAGCAGGGTTCCCACAAATACAGTTCACTCCATAACACGTGAGCTTTCAGAAAGGCCACCCCAAGTGGAGGATGGACAGTGTCCCCAGTTCCAGTGATAATGTACTGGTGACGGTGTCCCACTCCTCGGACTTGGGACACTTGGGAGACTGCGCGCTGGCAGCTCTGCTGTCAGCTGGCGACCTTGATGGCGGGGAGCTCCGGACTGTGTGTGCTGGCCATCCGGCGGGAAGCTTTCTGATCTGCCTCCCCTGGCTTTGCAAGAGATCAGGCTACTGTGTAGCTCGGCAGTTGTCGTCCTCCCAAGACGTGGTCATCTTTTAACTATCTTCATTCACATATACACCACACACACACACACACACACCTCACACCACACACATTCACACACCTTACATCACACACATATATACACATACACTCACCACACACATACACTCACCACATACATATCACAGACAGCACACATATATCACACACCACACATATCACACATGCTACACACCTGTATACACATCTCACATCACATGCATATACACACACCATATGCACACATGCACACACACATCACACACATATATACACATATACCACACATCACTCACATATACCACACACAGAAATGCACACACTCACAAATACACACCAGTCATGTATACACACACCTCACACCAGACACGTGCACACCTCATACCACATGTACAAACACACATACACAGATACACACAACTTACACCACACACAAACACACCCACACACATCTCACACATCACAGACACATATACCCATACCTCACATCACACACTTGCACAACACTCACAAACACACAATAAACCACACACACTATGCACACACCTCACACCACACACATGTGCCATGCACACCACACATACATATATGCAGCACACACATATCACACACACAGACACACCTCACACCATACGCACACACACCTTGCCATACACAAACCCCTCGCCATACACACATACCTCACACCACACACACACCTCACAGCACACACATGCACATACACACCTAACATACGCACACATCACATATACACCACACACTCACAAACACAGCACACATACAGAATCACTTTCCCAAGGGTGAATTGCCGTGCTGATGGGAATGCCACGGTGCACTTTTTTTTCTTTTCACTTTTGTTGTGGTGACAACATATACCGACAGTCACCAACATAACACCTTCCCAGGTACAGCTCAGGGACACTGATGACATTTTTCATGTTGTGCCACCACTGGTGCTGCCCTTTTCCAGATATTCCACCACCATCAGCATAAACTTAGTGTCCCCCAAACAAAAGCTTCCCCTTCCCCCATTCCTCCTACCCCTGGGAACCACTAATCATTTTAGGTTTATATATAAAAGTTTTTTGCAACCTGTCTAGGAATTTTCACTTCCCTTTCCTCCCTTCCCATCCCTGGTAACCAACAAAGAAAATTTCCTTCTATGTATAAACTTATCCTTGACTTTTTACGACAGTGGACCAATACAATATTTGCCCTTCTGTGATTGACTTATTTCACTCAGCATAATGTCCTC